GACGCCTGTGAAAGAGAGAGGACTCGCGGGGCCCGCGCACCTCTTCGGCAGTTTCGCGTTCACGCCGACGGCGTCACTCGCTGACGCGGGCGCTGCTGTGGCTTCCTCTCGGGGACGTGGCCTCGGCGCGGCGGTCGTCTCGGCGCTCCCCAGGGCACGGGGCGGCACGCGGAGCAATCATCTGGGGCTCTGCGAGATGGCGGACGGGGCGTATGAGGCGGCGCTGCGGCTGTGGCAGGCGCTCCGGGACGAGGTCGACGACGAGATGGTGGGCGTCAACATGGCTGTGTGTCTGCTGTACACGGGCAACATGGACAAGGTGAGGCTCTCGGCCGCACAGGCAGCTGGTGCATTGTCATGCTAACAGGTGGTGTAGGGCCGCGAGGTGCTCGAGAGCATGGCGGGCTCTGGCCGTTCCTCGCACACGCTGCTGTTCAACCTCAGCACCATGTACGAGCTGTGCACGGAGAGGAACCGAGCGATGAAGATCAAGCTCACGGAGAAGCTGGCGGGGCTGGATGCGACGGAGAGTGGGTGGGAGAAGACGAATGCCGACTTTAAGCTCTGATGGGGGATGATTGGCAGCTACAGATGGCAGCACAGATGGCAGCACAGATGGCAGCGCAGATGGCTGCACAGACGGCAGCGCAGATGGCTGCACAGACGGCAGCTACAGACAGGGTACTGAATTTCAGCATGGCGATTCTGATCATGTCATATCGTTGATCCGTGTAGCAGCGTCGTTGGAGGCATTCCGACAGCTCTCTCTCTCTCTCTCTCTCTGGCAATCCCCTCGCAGCTGGCCGCTACAGCTGGCATGTGGCAGCTGGCAATTGCAGCTGGCAGCTGCAGCTGGCATCTGCACAGGCCAGCATTGCGAGCCTTCCTGCTCGTGCAGCATCCCCTGAAGACGAAAGCCAGCCAATCCCGAGCAGAGGAGGCTGGGTGGAGCTCCCCCGCAAAAGGTTCCTGATCCACAGCGCATCGCCATGATCAGCACTGTGTCCTCCTGCCTGCTCGTGCCATGTTCACCTGCCTATCCGTGCCGCGTCCACAGTGCAGCCAGACGACGCTACGCCGGACGCGGTACCTCGCACCTCGACAGCTCTCCACCCGCCGACGCCAACCCCCGTCATGTCAACACTGCAGCGAAACATAGTTCATCGGACGTCATGTCACTCGGCAGCACACGTCCGCCGACGGGGAACCTCTGTCGTGCCCACGCAACCCTGGGCCCCCAGGGCGACGCGTTCGCACGCTGCAAGACACACAAAGGGGATCCAGCCCGTCCCGAGCCATGCCCCCTGCCTGCCCTTACTCACTGCCCTGCCCTGCTTTGGCCCTTTCCTTTCCGTGACGCTGGATGCAGTGCCGATGTCGTAGTACTCGTCGCCAGCAGGCAAGGTACCTACCTACCTACCTTTAAGGTACCTACCTTTGGGGAGTAGCAGCAGCTGTAGTAATCAAGAGATACGTCCATCCGTACGAAGAACAGTAGCACTCGGCAGCTGGCCACCACCACCACCACTGGCCTCCCTCTTCCTCGCACTTCATCTCCTACTCTCTCCTCTTCACACGCCTGCTCCCCCAGCCCTTTTCCATTCCTCCCCCATCTCCCTACATCGCCAATCACCATCGAAACCCATCCCATTGCCATCAGCACCTCCGTCTACAGCTTCAGCTCGCCTCCGCCGTCTCGCTGTCCCCCTGGGAGCATCCTCTCTCGTCCCACCCCCGCCCCAGCCAGCTACGCAACGCGCGCGCAAAGAGAGAGAGAGAGAGAGAGAGAGAGAGCCACAGTGCGCTTTGCCCTTACGTCATCGCCATGGACGCCAACCCTGCCCCCGGCGCTGTGCCAGCTGTTGCCAGCATCGACCAAGGTGAGCAAGCCGTCCACCATTCCCGCAGCCCCATTCACAACATGATGCATCGCCAATTTTCTGGGTGCACGCGGGCGCTGCCGTTGCTCGCGCGCGGGCGCATTGCTGATCGGGCCGCCGGCGGGAAAAGCGAGGGGCGGTGCGGCGCCAATGCGATGCGGTGCGGCTGCCCGCTGCTGGGTCGTCGTCCGTGTCTCTGCGCACCAGCCAGCAGGCGGCCAGCAAGCCCAGCCGAATCGCGAACCCACATCCTGCTGATGGCCTGCTTTCCCTTTTTTTGTTCTTTCCCTTGCTTGTTCTGTGCACACGGAACACGCTGCTGACGTGCCATCCAGTCGTAGCCGACGAGCCGGCTGCCGCCGCGCCTGCCACCTCCTCCCTCGGTGCACCCGCCACGGGCGCGAACCCTCTTGCTGCCGAGGACGCCAAGACGGCCGACGAGCCTGCTGCGCCCGCGGCCCCGGCTGCCGCTGCTGCGCCCAAGGCGGCCACCGTCGAGCCCAAAAGGGTTGTCACCCGTCTGGATGCCTCGGACAAGGCACGCCCGTCGCCGTGTCGGGTACGGCCGCGGACACGGCCATTGACACGGCGGCCGAGCCCTCGAACCCCATCCCTGGACTGACCTCGACCGATCCCGCCGCGCCCGTCACGGCCCGAACGACGCCACGGACGCCGTCAAGGACGCCGCGCTGCCGAACCCGCCGACAAGACGGACGTC